ACTCTGCAAGTGATAACCACTGTCTCCACTCAGACTGTTTTTGCCCTGTCATACACCGGAGGTAGGTCTTTAGGCAACGATTTAATCTTTCTGATTGGCCGTCAGTTTGAGGGTGATAAGTTGTGCTTGGCTTGAGATGAACCTTCCAACATTTAAACAATTCTTTCCGAAAATTGCTCAGAAAAATGGGGTCTCTACCAGAGACAATTAAGCTAGGTTGTCCATGTAATTTGCATACATTATCCAAGAATATTTGTGCAATTTGAGTAGCAGTATAAGGATGTGTTAATGCAAAGAAATGGTCAAACTTTGTATACCTGTCGATTACCAGTACTAAATTTTTTCCATGTGATTTAGGCAATCCATTAATAAAATTCATTGCTATGTGTTATCATGCCCTCGATGGAATTGGCAAAGGCTGTAAGAGTCCCGGATAGGCTACACTTTTTCCTTTATTTCTTTGACAGGTTTCACATTTAACCACCTGCTTCTTCACATCTTGTAAGAGTGTAGGTCAGTAGAATAATGCTCTTAGTCTTTGTTGTGTTCCATGTACTCCCGAATGACCACCCTAGGGAGTTGAGTACTACTACAACAACAACATACCAGTATCATCCTACAAGTGGGGTATAGGATGGGTAATGTGTACGCAGACCTTACCACTACCTGGGAGGTAGAGAGGCTATTTTCGATAGACCCTCGGCTCGAGAGAAGGTGAAGAAGAAGAAGAAGAAGAAGAAGAAGAAGAAGAAGAAGGGGGGGGGGGGGGNGATAGACCATCGGCTCAAGAGAAGGTGGAAAGGAAGAAGAAGAAGAAGAAAGAAAGAAAGAAAGAAGGGGGGGGGGGGGGGGGAGAAAGACAGATGAGGGAGACAAAAGACGATAAGGAAAAAGAGGAGAAAAAGTAGCATCAGATAGTAACAATCAGGGAGCAAAAATTTCCAGTAAAAAGGAGAAACAGTAGCATCAAATAATAATAATAATCAGGGAGCAATAATTTTCAATAACAATTTACAAAAACACTGGACTTGTTTGCTAAGTGCTAGATATAATAACAAACTAAAAGGAAGTAACATTCAACCAACAACAAGAATAATATTAGTACTATTGGTGACCTAGGAGAAACTCAAAACTACCTGTCAACCCACCACCTTAATCCCCGACCTCCATACCTTCCTATCGCTAGTCATGTCCTCAGTTAGGTGAAGCGCCGACATGTCATGTCTAATCACCTCTCCCCAATACTTCTTTGGCCTACCCCTGCCCTTCCTCAAGCCCGCCATGGTCAACCTCTCACACATCCTAACCGGGGCATCTATGTCTCTCCTTCTCACATGCCCAAACCATCACAGCCTCCATTCCCGCAACTTGGCTTCCACCGATGCCACTCCCACCTTGTCCCTAATAACTTCATTCCTGATCTTGTCTTTTCTGGTATGTCCACACATCCATCTCAACATCCTCATTTCAGCCACGCTCATCTTCTAGATATGGAACTTCTTGACAAGCCAACACTCAGCTCCATACAACATAGCCGGTCTAACCACCACCTTGTAAAATTTACCCTTAAATCTAGGCGGCACATTCTTATCGCATAAAACCCCCGAAGCTAGCCTCTATCTCATCCAACCTGCTCCACCCAGGGAGTTGAGTGCATCTAATTAATAAGTTTTTGGCGGATGAAACCATAGCTCCCAACCCACACCTTATCATTCTGCTTGAGGATACCGCACTTCAATTGCATACCTTGAATTGCATCAGCATCAACACTCAGTTGAGTGATGAATTCTTGGGCCACTGGGTCATCTTGGTAACTGTTGATTACATCCTCAGCCCATTTTGGCTGAACTACTATGAGCCCAGCATGTTCTCCTTCATCAAACTTTCTGGAAAGAGCATCCGTAACTACATTTTCAGCCCTCTTGCGGTACTGTATTTTATAATTGAGACCTAGCAGCTTGGTAATTCCCTTGTGCTGTAGCGATGTAGTGATCCTTTGATCTTTCAAAATTTGAGCTAAAATGAACGGTCTTGATGATAAAATGATTAGACTGTAAGTAATGACGCCATTTTTCCACTGCATGTAATAATGCAATTAGCTCCTTTTCGTACATGGAAAGTACCAAGTGCCTAGAACTCAATACCTGACTGATAAATGCAATAGGCCTACCATTTTGCATAATGACTGCCCCAATTCGTTTCTCGCTAGCATCAACCTCTACCACAAATAGTATTGAAAAATTAGTTAATGCCAATACTGGTGCCTGACGCATAGCTTATTTCTATTCTTCAAAGGCTTGGGTTGCTTCAGTCTCCCAGTGAAAGTTTTCTTTCTTTAATAGGTTAGTCAGAGGTTTGCTAATGATGGCAAATTTTTTGACAAACCTATGATAATATCCATTAAGGCCTAAAAATCCCCTTAACTCCTTTATAAATTTGGGCATGGCCCAATTTAGCATGGCCTCAACTTTAGCATAATCGGTATCAACCCCTTTACTAGAGCTAACATGTCCCAAGTACTCGACTTGATTTTGGCCAAAATTGCACTTTGATTTCTTAATGAACAACTGGCTGGCCTTTAATAAATCGTACGCCATATGTAAATGTTTGACATGTTCTTGTAATGATCTGCTATATACCAGTATATCGTCAAAGAACACTAACACGAATTGCCTAAGAAATGACCCAAAAATCTTGTGCATTAAGGCTTGAAAAGTGGCTAAAGCGTTAGTTAGCCCAAAGGACATGACTCTAAATTCCCACAATCCATGATGAGTGTGAAAAGCTATTTTTTCCTTCTTCGTGAATCTGGTGATAGCCCGACCTTAGGTCCAATTTGGAAAAAATTTGAGCTCCATATTGCTCGTGTAATAGATCCTCTACCACTGGTATGAGGTACTTGTTTTAATAGTGATGTCATTCAATTTTTTGTAATCCACACACATTCTCAAACTCGAATCTTTCTTTTTCACTAAAAGAACTGGGGAAGCAAAATGAGAAACACTATTGGTCACTGTTTGGGCTTTCAATATTTCAACAATAATCTTTTCAATTGCATTTTTTTCCAGCAACAATCTCCTCAATTGCATTTTTCTGTTGAAAGGAATAACGGTATGACCTTAGATTAATGGGCTTTGAACCAGGAAGTAGTTCAATTGCGTGGTAACACTCACAAGTTTGGGGCAAGCTTTTGGGATCCTGAAATAATTCTTCATACAAGCCCATTAATTTCTTCACTGTTTGGGGTATCAACTCTTTACTTTTACCCGCACAAACCATTAGGAACATCTGAGTTATAAAGTTATATTGACCATTGCTAATTAACTTCGAAATAGCTCTCGTGTCCACATCAGACATACTTCCCTCCTCCTGATTACTCAGGGAAGTCACCCATTCGGAACCATACACGAAAGATATATTGTGAGGACGAGTGTGTAACACTACTGGGGACACTATATCCACCCAATCCACCCCTAGCACAATGTCGCATCCACCAACTTTGAGGACTCCAAAATTAAAGTTGAAACTTAAGTCCTGCATTTTCCATTCTAAATTACGACATTTTTGCTTGCAATGTAAGTATTGACCATTAGCAGCTTTGATTTGCATGGGCCGATCTAGATCCTCAATTAATGTTGAGCATGATTTTGTCACTTGTGAGTCGACAAAACTATGAGTTGATCCGCTATCAATTAGTACCACCACCTTTTGGCCTCACATTAAGCCCATACGTTTGATGGTTGATGGAGCTTTACTTCGACCCAATATCACATTCAAAGTGGCTTTCTTCTTGTACTTGGTCCTCAACCTCTCTCAACTCAGGCTCTACTACCTCTTCATTGGCATCTACGAATTCCCTATTTTCCATTGCATTGACAGCCCTATTTTTACATTGGTAACCTGGCTCTGATATCAAATTGTAGTACTCTATGAAGCAAAAAAATAAAATAATAAAGACAAGAATAAATTCAGAAAAAAGGTAAAAGGTTTCATTTCATCAGATACTCTGAATACAGTGATTGAGGCTCTAAATAACACAGAAAAGGACAACTACGAATGTAACAACCAAGCTAACAAAATGATAATTGTCCAGTCTTCTAGAACGTACAATTCAAAAGGACTTAATTGAAAAGTAAAGACTATGGGACTAAAGTGTCAATAACCAAACTTAAGGGTGTTTACAACTGATAATAACATAGCATATTCGGATGCTACATATTAGATGTAGACAAATTAGGAACTATTTTTGTTTAAATATGTGATAAATATGTGCAAGGAGACGCTACTTGTAATAGTATAGTTTGATATATAAAATTTTATTCTTTCCAACCAAATAATAAAAATAAAATGAATACGATATATAATTAATCACAATGATGATATGGTAGGATAGATGGAATACCTTCACCTTTAATTAAGAGTTTAGATTCGAGTTCTAGAAAAGGAAAAGCTCCTCATATGGAAATTTAGTGGGCGTTTGGACATAAGAACTGTAAAATTCCGGAAAAAAGTAAAATTTTTTAAAGCAAAAATAGTATTTGAAAATTAAAATTTTGTTTGGATATGAATACAATTTGGAGTAGTTTTTGAATTTTTGTGAGTGGTTTGAAGTGAAAATTTTGAAAATAGCTTTTGAAATTTTTTTAATTTTCGAAAATTCTAAAATTCAACTTCAAGTGAAATTTGAAAATTTCATGGACAAATCTGAAAAAAGTAAAAATTTCTTATGGCCAAATGTGTTAAGCTATACATGATGTAAATTTGAATTAGTCGGACCATTAAAATCTGGTTGGTTATAAAAATAAATGCTAAAGTAAACTAACTTCCAAATAAAAAAATGTGCAATTCACTAAACATGCAATTTTTTTAATTTTAATTTTAATTACTCCTCAAGCGTGCCAAATAAATTCGGAGTACAATTAATCAACACTTTTCACACGCTTGAAGCTAAATTTTGATTGGATAAGACACGTACATAAGTGATTGCAAACACCATTTCCCTAACGCCGTTAAACCCGTTTTCTTACCGTTACCAATACGAAATCCTATTTTGGCCCGAAACATTTGTGTACAATTTTTTCAAGAAACAAAAAACTGGTGGCACTGTGTGTGTGTGTGTAAATCAACCAAGATCTGTAACCCAAATAAGAATTTTCTGGCAGATCTGTTTCTGGGGTTTGTTCAAAAAGAAAAGCAAATATGAATATATTCAGGCTTGCTGGGGACATGACCCATTTGGCTAGTGTTCTTGTTTTGCTCCTCAAGATCCACACTATTAAATCTTGTGCTGGTATTTTCCATTATTTTAGCAAAAAACTTAAATTTATGTGTTGTATATAGTTACGTTTTAATTTTTTGGTTTTCATGTCATTTCTTCATTTTTTAGTGATTGGTATATATATATTGATGTGAACAGTCATAGGTATTTGTTGACATTGGAAAATTGCTTGTGTTGGGTTTTTTCGTTTTTATGTTAGGATTTATAGATGCATTATCTTGTTTGTAATATTGACCATTTTATTCAAATGGATTTTTTTTTGAGCTGATGAGGTGAATGGATTGCATTTCCTGTTGTTGAAGCTCCTGTACATTGCATTATTGCAGAAAGCAGAATCTAATGCTTAATTGGATAATGACATGTTATTTGTTAGAAATAAACGAGAAGTGTGTAAATTGAAACAAAACTATAATGCCTGAGAGCTCCTTTTCTCAGAATTTTTCGAGAGGAAATAATTAGAGAATAGTGTAGTAAGTTAAAATTACTAGTATGCTTTTCGGAACAAAAAATGTGGATATATTTGATGAATAGACTTCACCACAAATAGGGGAGAAAATTCTTTTAGTGAAATGTAATCCTTTTTCATGGAGCGATATTATCCTCAAACTTAAAGGCTAAAGTAAGTTTGGGTATGAAGGTTCTTTTGCAAGGTGTACATAAACATGGATATGTGATACTTAAGAACAAGGTGGTGGGCTGGAAGCCGTCATTTTAAGGGATTGTACTCCTTTTACTTTTTGGTTTTCTTGTACGTAAGGGAAAAAGATGTCCGCTCATGGAACACCCGATAATATTGGAATAATGCAGAAGAGAAAAGTTTGTTGTGGTGTATACCTGTATGCCTGTTGTTTGAGTTATACTTCATGTCATTTGTTTTTAATTTTGATAATCTAGATACTTTTTAGGGACTATTACCAGAGAGCAATCAGTCCTAGAATTGCTTATTACAAGGAGATGGAACACCGTTTGCCTTTTTGCATAGGGGACTGTAAATTTCAGTCACCATCTTGGTGTCTGGTTCCTGTTTCTGTAATCTTTACACATAAAAAAGAGATGGAACTTCAATACGAAGCCTTTACTGTAGTTCAGATGCTACGAGGGAGTAAGGATGTTGAGAAGATATCTCAGTAAGGATTTAGTTGCTTTGTCTGTACTAGTATTGTGGAAATATTAGGCTGAAGTAGCAGGATGATGTAGAGGTTATAATGGATATGCCATATGTGTATCATGCCTATGTTTAATTGCCCACTAGCACATGTAAATGGATGCTTGTTCTATCAGTAGTTTGATGTGACATTATTCACTCGAATAAGGAAAAGCAGGGTAGGTTTGTCAATGTTTGAGTGGAAGTTAAGCGAAATAGCTTGAATGAACGATTTAAAGTACCTAAGTCATACGAATAACTTTATTTTCATTATAGCCACCAAGACTTAAGCAGCGTACCGAGGCATGTTAAACGAAATTTGGCCCTTTTGATTGCCTGTAAGCATGATACAGTATGAATCTGGCGTAGAGTGGTTTTACCTGGACTGTTGGAACTGTTGATGCACTCTGCATACTGCTGGTCGAGATTTATCCCTTAAAGGAGCCGCCGAGCTACAGAAACGTTCTTTTTATCTATACCAAGCAGATTGTTTGCAATTGTCCTTTCGTAGTTTTTACAGTTGGTCAAATGTCTGTGTACAGATAATCGTCTAATGCTTGATGAAGTTGCTAATTTGGCCTATGACTGTATAAAGCTATATCTAGTGACTAGACTGCGTTCATTAATGGTTTAGTTACTTTTCACAGGTATTTCTCTGAAGACTCAAGAGCTATATGCTCTCGTCTTTGTTACTCGCTACTTGGACATATTTACAGACTTTATTTCACTATACAATACTACAATGAAGTTGGTTTTCTTGGGAAGCTCTTTATCAATTGTGTGGTACATGAGGCATCACAAAATTGTTCGCAGATCTTATGACAAAGACCAGGATACTTTTCGTCACATTTTCCTTGTGCTTCCTTGCCTGGTATTGGCTCTTGTTATACACGAGAAGTTTACCTTCAAGGAGGTACGGATGCATCTCTATTGCTCATTGGCATTTCAATTTTTGTTGTAGCATTTCAGACGTGGATATTATTATGTCACTTGGATGTGCTTCCACTTTCTCGTTAATGTGGTTGCACTTTTGACCAGGTAATGTGGACCTTCTCCATATTCTTGGAAGCTGTTGCCATCCTTCCTCAGCTGGTCTTGTTGCAGAGAACGAGAAATATAGACAACTTGACTGGACAATACATTTTACTCTTGGGGTGATGTATCCTTCCTTTCTTACCTTTTGCAAGAGTTGATTACGCTTACATCTCAACCTCTTTCCTTTTTTTTCCCTTATATTGTTTGCTAAGGGCTTTTATCTCGGTCTCATTTTTTTTTTTTTGAAATGAAAATCTCAGTCTCTATTTATCACGCTGATTCTTTTTGAGGGGTGAGTATCCACTTGTAGCTACTAGTTCTCATTAAGACGATGGGATATTAATGTGAACAAGCGCGATAAGCAATTGTTGGATCCATAATTGTAGTCTTCTTTTCTTTGAAATCCTTTTGAATAGCTGTCTTTTTGCATGGGGAGATCTCTCTCTCTCTCTCTCTCTCTCTCTCTCTCTCTCTCTGTTGATTGGTTGGAAATTAAATGAACTTCAAATAACAGGCTCTCGGTGTTTGTTTTTATAGAAGAAATTTTGATAAGTGGGCAAAAGGTTTAGAGTAGGTCTTAGTATAGGAATGACGTAATGAGGAGATCATATAACCGATGGGGCATTGACGAATGGTCATTAGAGAAGTGAACAGGTAACCTACTGATATAATAGGCTAGGCTAAAGTCATTTCCCTGGGTAATCTTTTGTCAGCGAATGGATACCAAGGATTCATATAGCCAATCCCAACAAATTTAGGAATGAGGAGTAGTGATTAATTGATTGATTTTTGGAATTCTCGATTCTTAGACCTCCGCTCAAAAAAATCTTCTGGGCCCAAAAACAGCAACACGTTGACTGAAGGAACTGATTTCATTTGCTGGGCAGTTGGTGTCATTTTGCTTGTTGGATTTCACTATAAGCCTGCTGGAGTGTGTCATCAAGTTTATACCTTATAGTGACATAGACTCTCTAGAGGTTGAGAAGTCTGAACTAGTTTCAATTGGCTGACAAGGTCATAATTTATTGATTTATTATTAATTCTGCATAATCTGAGTTTATTGGGAGAGTAGAGATTCAGAGTTTACGTTACCCCAGCTAACTTGAGCTTGTTAAAAATGTCATTTATCCTGATACATGACTGGATAGCTAACGCTGCTTATGCCGAAAAAACTGCTTTCGCACAACCAGGAAATTAGCAATGTTGAATCATTGGCTTTCATATTGATATCACGTTCAAAAATGAATGTCAATGTTTCCAAAAAAGTCATACACTAAATGCAGTATCAAGGTTTACGAATTAAGAAGTTGTCCAACTATTATCCATTTAACATGTTATCTGAAGCGAGCTTGTTTTAGTCTCTGAAGTTTCTGCTAGTTTGATTTCTTGAAGGTGTGTACATAGTTTTGCTTGTTTGTATATACGTCTATTTCTACACTTCATCTGTCTTTGGCAGGGTACAAGGGGGTCGTACAGTCTCCTTAACACCCTAAAGTGTAGGGGTCTTTTATTTCTTCTTTAGTATTTGAGAATTTCTAATGCATGTCCTGTTGGTAAGACAACATGGGCTTAAAAGTTGTGTCTGAAAGGCTGACATGTTTTTTCTGGTTGGGGGTTTGGGGGGGGGGGTGGGGGGGGGAGTGAGGTGAGGGAGGCTGTCGGATTAGACTAAGAAAAGTCAAAGGAGGTTGCCGGGTTTACGTCCCTTTTAAAAACTACTAACTATGTTCAGAATGATGAG